TATGTTTAGAGGGGATGAGAGCATGGGCTTAGAAGGCAGACAGACCCATATCAAATCCTGGCTCTGCACCTTGCAGCAAGGTGACTTTAGGGAGGAGCTTTTATTTCTTTGAGCCTCATTTATTCTTTTTTGGCAAAAAAAATGCAGCTGATAATACCTACTTGTAGGGTTGATGTGAGGTGTAGTGATCCACGTGAAGGTGTCTGTTACGTAGTAGGCATTCCACAAATGGGAAACTACTTTTTTAGTCGAAATATATTTCATATAACATGAAATTTACAATTTTAACGTGTGTGCAGCTCAGTGTTTTTCAGTATATTCACAGTGCTCTGCAACCATCACCACTATTTAATTCCAGGACATTTTCATCACCCCAAAAAGAAATCCCTGTTACCCACTGAGCATCACTTCCCATTGCTCCCTTCCCCCTGCTATGGCAACCACTAATCTACTTTCTGTCCCTATGGATTTGCCTATTTTAGACATTTCATATAAATGCACTCATATATGTGTTCTTTCTTTCACTTAGCATAACTTCAAGATTCATCTATATTGTAGCATGAATCAGTATATCATTTCTTTTTTTGACTGAATAGTATTTTCTTGTATGTCTACTACATTTTGTTTGTCCATTCATAAGTTGATGGACATTTGGGTTCTTTCTACCTTTTGGCTGCTGTCAGTAATACTGCTGCGAACATTTGTGTACAGGTCTTTGTGTGGACATGTTTTCATTTCTCTTGAGTACACACTTAGGAGTGGAATTGCTGGGTCATATGGTAATTCTGTGTTTAACTTTTTGAGGAACTGCCATACTGTTTTTCACACAGCAGCCCCATTTTACATTTCCACCAGGAATTTATGAGGGTTCTAATATCACTACATCCTTCCTGACACTTGTTATTTTCCTTTTTTTTTTTAAAAAAAATGTAGCCATCCTAATGAATGTAAAGTGTTATCTCATTGTAGTTTTGATTTGCATTTCCCTCATGACTGATGATGTTGAACGTCTTTTCATATGCTTATTGGAATAGCCTCTTTTTATTATTCTTTCATTAAACATTTTTTGTTTGATGGTTCCCTATTGTTCGGATAGTTCTATGATATGGGCCCTGCCCTGAGGTTACTCATACTCAGTGGGGAAGGCAGACCTCTAAGCAGATAATTGCGACATAGTAAGAGAATAGACTACAGAGAAGGTATGTATAGTGTGTAATGGGACCTTTGAGGAGGAAGGAGGAGATGGGTGGGTGGAAGCTGAACAGAGCTTCCACCCAAGGAAGGGAAGTCACATAAGGAAGGGAAGGGGCATTTCAATTTGATGGACGGACGAGGATGGAACCTTAGGTATAGCTGGCGAAGGGCGGGGCCTCCTGTCACCAGGTGGAGAGCGTCACCCATCCCAAGCAGGCAGCTGGGCAGGTCTGCACCTCAAGAAGCAAGCCCGCCCCGGGCCCCAAGCCAGCAGGCAGTTCCTGCTGAGGTTTGTCATCCATTGTGTGTTTGTCTGCATGGCACTCTTTTATTTTCAAGGCACATTTACTGAGCTGATTTGATCCCCATTTCTACAAGAGGAGAAAAATGACACTTGGTGAGATAGCAGCTTGGCTGACTTCTCACACCTACGAAGTGGCAGAACTGGACTTGGGTTCCAGGTGTTCTGAATCCTAGTTTTTCCTACACCTGCAGGCTCAACCTCAGCTCTTCTCGAGCTGGCATTCAAGGCCATTTATTCTCTGTCCCGACCACCTTATTTTCCTTCCACATCTCTCCCTCCTGCCTATAACTGAACCATCTTTTATAACCACTGCAGTCTAAATATTTTCCCAACCTTCCTCTTTTGGCTTCTGTTTTTTCCCCTTTTGTGTGGTCTAGATTTTTGCCACCCTTAAATGGCTATTCTTTTATGAGCACCAACTGTTGAAATGCCATTCACTCTGCCCAAGTTCTTAACATACAAAATTTGATCATCTTCACAGCATTCTGGCAATGTAATTTGAAATTATTTACTTCAAGTCACAGATGAGGAAATGGGCTTAGAGAAGTAAAGTAACGCGTTCAAAATCACCCAGCAAGTAAGGATTCCAGCTCAAATGCCACCTCCTCTCTCAAAAGCCTTCCAAGGTTATACTGACAGAAGTGATCTCCCTTGTTCCTGAAATCCTGTAGCACTCACTTCTCCCTTATTCAAACTCAGCATTTGAGATCTTGTGTTATCTTTTCATGGGTTTTTATCTTGTTTACCCAACTGGGTATTCATTCATATCCCTAGGACCTAGGACCTAGGTATTCGTGTCCCTAGGACCCAGCCTAGATCTTGCAGAGTAAATTCTCAGTAAATGTTAAGCTGAGGAGTAAAAGGAGGAAAAGCTCTGGACCTGGATTATGTGGTCTGGATTTTTCTCATATTCACGTTACGAAACTAATTTCTGTGACCTTGCACAATAGTGAGCTCTCCAGGATGGGACCCTCTCTGTCCTGCCCCTCTTTTATTCCTGGGCCCGATTGTTACATGGATGGATGCAAAGACTTCACCATTTAAAAACTCATTTTTCTTATCTGCAATTTGAAAGCGTTGAATGAGATGATCTGAGGATCGTTTTCCATTCAAATATTACCTAGTTTCGTGTGTCTGAATGATTACTTCTCTCCACACCAACATAATCCTAAGCTACAGAGTTTTGTCTCAGGGAGGCAAAGCATAGCTTGCCATGTCTAGTTTGGTGGCTGCATCTCAAACCTTTGCCCTTGAACTTGTCAAACTGAAGACTAGCCTAGGACCTTTGCCCCAACACATTCAGAAGTCCTAATACCACCCTATTGTTCTCTCTCTTTCCTTCTTTCTCTCTCTCCCCACCTCTTTGGGCTTTCTTTTCCATGTATATGTGTGTGTGTGTACATGCGCACACACACACACACACACACACACACACACCATTTCAGGATAATTTCATTTGAAGCACTTTATTTAGGTTTTACGTTCTAGCAGCTTTGTGGCTTAGAAAGAGTCAATGATTTATAGGAGGGAAGCTGTTGCTCTTTTAGAAAAACCAAAGTCCTTGCTGTTGTTTGTGCCTAAGCCAGTGGATGTATTTTATAGGCACAACAAGAACAAGAACAGGCCATTCTTGTGAAAACAGAACCCAAGGATTGCTCCTCTGCGCAGTGGTAAAGGCCATTTTCATCGATAGAGGGTTGTTAACAAAAACACCTCTTTTTTTCCTAGGCAGTTCCTTTACACTCTATACTCTGCTTAAATCGTTTCTTTGTTTTTTAAATTAAATCTTTATTGATGTTATGCTTAACAGAATAAAATGATTCACAGCATATCGATAATATTAATTATAATATGTCATTCCTTGAGTGCCCAGTGTGTACCAGGCACTGTTTGGTGAGTTGTGTGCATTATTGCTCTGGTCCCCACAACTCAGCACCCCCTATAACTCCTGTTACAGAGGAGAGACCTCAGCTCAGAGAGACTAAAGCCTTCTCCCACCTCTCCTTGCCCTGTCATAGAAAAGCTAAAGTTCATACTCGGGTCTCTCTGATACTGGAGTCCTACCTTTGGCCATCTGGGGCTCCATTCCTGAGACCCTTTGGGAAGATTTAGCATTTGAGGACATTCTGGAATAGTTATGTGCTTATAAGCAGCCTTCTCAGCTTCACTAACAAGTTATGAGGAGAGAAGCATGGCCTGGGAGAAGCATAAGAGCATGTTTAACACATGCATGTGCACATGTGCGCGCGCACGCGCGCACACACACACACACACACACACACACACACACACACACATACACATAGATCCTTAGAGACTGGATTTAACCAGCTACCTGGCTACATGCTATATCCAGCATTGGACAACATGCTAGAAAAGGCACTTAGGATGTAGCATGTAGTGGGAACCTTTGAGGAATATAAGAAAATGTAATTTCTATAGTCTCAGGTCAAGCCCAGAGTACCAAGTATTTTGTCACAAGGGGCCAGGCCAGTTCCAGAGCAGGTTCACATTTCTACCTCCAGAGCCCTCCTGTTTGAGCTTTTACTTTTGACATCTCCAGCAAGAGACAGATCTGGGAAGTACAGTTTGAAATGTGTGCAGAAAAAGAAATAAAAAAAAACAAAACACCTCTCTTAGATGATCTGGGGTTGGGCTTAAAGAATGAGAAATGAGGAAAAATAATATCCTGTCTTATGTGTATGGCACTTTACAGTTTGTAGTGTACTTCACTGTGTGTTGTGAGCACACATAAGCACTGGACAAGGTGCTAGGGGTCTGTTTCCCACTCCCTATCTCTTTCTCAGACTCACATCATGGGCCTACCTCTTCCATTCTCTGGGTTTGAGCTTCCTCATCTGTAAAATGAGAGAGCTGGACAACTTGCTCACCGAGGTCCCTCAAACTCTGTCATTCTGCGATTTGATACCAGTAAAAAGGCAATAAACATTACTTGTTACTTTTCCCAATCTGTCTTATTTCAGCCTGTTTTGTGTGTCCTTCCAGTTTACGCCTTACCACCAAAAGAGCTATTATCCCTTTCATGCCTGTTGATACCTGGGTTGGCAGAAACCCACCAAGTTCTCCTGGGAAGACACTTGGCTTAGAAAGATCTCAATTGTTGAGGGGTTTATTCATGTGCCAGTTAAGCTTAGACCAGATAGCAATCTAAGGGCCATTCCAGTTTCAAGATTCTAGAATTCCATAAAAGGCCTAGCTCTAAGATATACTTAGAGAAACCCCTAAGCAAATTCATTGAATGCTATTTTAATACTTTGTATGGCAGTGCTTCTAGCAAACACCCTTGATCCTAGAGTTTGATCTGCACTCCTCTTATTCGGATCTCTGCATGCAGGAAGAAACAGGCCTTGGGTTTGTTTGCTTTCCTTTTTAACTGGTCTGGCCTCAATTATTTTCTAGCGTTTGAGGTTTGGGGCATTTTGAATTCATAATGACTCATTTTGACTCATAATGAACCTTGTTCTCTTGATATGCATTTTAGAAGACAAATCTGACCTTGAAAACAGTGTGATGCAGAAGAAAATAAAAATCCCCAAACTTTCTCTTAACCACGTAGAAGAAGATGGGGAGGTTAAAGATTATGGGGAAGAAGATTTACAGCTTAGACACATCAAGGTAACAAAATCTTTTCTGGTTTTGGAAGTATGTGGGAAAATTTTCTGATTCCTCATAGCTAAAGAATTTGTCTGGCCTCCTCTCCCCATGTAAATGTCCCCTAGTGTCATAGGCCATGATTTTTTTTGAGGTAGGGGAGGCTTGGGACAACTAGTGTACGTTTGCCTTGCTGGCCAACTTTCCAGGGAGCCCTGAATCCTGCTGTGCCACCAAGCCTGGTCCTGTTTGCACAGTCGCTACAGTGTCATCACTGTTGGAGATTTGGAACTGTGTGTTTCTCCCTGGCCCACAGATCTGGAGAGGTCACTGCTGAGCTCCAGGAATGTTAAGCAGCTGTTCTCGGGCAGCAGTTTAGAGCCAGTCACTGTCAGATTGCCCAAACAGCTAAGGGTGGACTCGTTGGGAAGTACAGAGGGGATTTGTGGGACCCTGGGTTAGACAAAAACTTTTGCATAAGGTTGCATCCTTGCTGTGTGCCCCATTTGGTCTCCCCCAGCCTTCACTTTGTAAACCTGCTGAAAATCTTGTTCAGCAAGCTAGCTATTTTTGTGCAGTAGCTACTCCAAAGGAAGGGAGGGGGAAGAGAAGGAAGGATACCTTCTGCAATGACCATGGTCTGATTTTGGACACGAGGTCAAGGACATTCCCAAGGCATAGTTCAAAAGATGCAGTTGAGTTTAGTTCATGGCATTCATTGCACTCCTGCCTGGACCTGGCACTGTGCCGGCCCCAGGGGTCATGGAGATTAGCCAGATAAGGTCCTGCCTCCAGAGGTCTCATAGTATGATAATGCAGCCAGATGTCTAAGTGACCATTACAATTTTAGCTGATAAATTCATCTACACTAGCAGACACTTATCCCAGCAGATAAAATGACATAGGATTTTGTCACGTAGCTCAATCTCAGAGTCATGGTTTTGTTTTGTTTTCCTTAAGTTCCCTGAAACTTAGTGAGAGGTGTCTGGAATCTTACACCCTCAGTTTTCTGCACCTCCCACAAATGGCCCCAGTCAGGAGAGCTCCTAACCCTCCTCCCCTGGGTAAAGAATTCAGTGGGTCCTATAACTCCAACTGCCCCTCAGTGGGAGCTTTGTGCACTTGAACTGGAATTTCCTCAGGCAGCTGAACCCCGTACCCCTGGGTAGTCCTGGATACTTCCCTTCTAAATGAACTTTCCTATCTGTATCCACTGTCTTCTGAGGGAGAGGCTGGCAGATACGGGGGAAAGAGCCTTGTGCTGGAAGTTGGGTTCCAAATTCTAGTTCTGGCTCTGTCTGTAACTTGCCCTCTCTAGGCCTCAATCTCCTCACCTGTAAAAAGAGGAAGTTAGGCTGAAAGTACCTTTCAGTGCTAGCATTCTTTGAACTTTTCAGTTGAGTAAACATTTATCAAGCGCCTACTGAGTACCAGTTCTGAATAGGCAGTGGAGAAACAGAGAAAATAAGACATGGTCCCTGCCATACATTAGAGTGAATTAGAGTCTTTAACATCCTTCTGAACTAAAGCATTCTTGACAAAAAGAATTACATGATGGAATGCCTTTTTTGTTGTTTTTTGCTGTTGAAGAGATTTGAGTGTGATTCCCCTTGGGTGGCTTGGCCTGGCCCGATTCCTCCCCGATTCTGCAAACATATATATTGAACGCCCCCATGAGCAAGTCAGTACCTCGGCATTGTGGGTGGGCGAGGGGTGGAGAGTTGGGAAGGGCGGTCATGGTATGTGCATCTCAGAGGCAGAGTGGTGAAACAGAAAAAGTGCTGGCCTGGGAAACCAGGATCCTGGTTCTGCCACCAACGGATTGTATGGCTTTGGGCAAACCCGTTTCCCACTCTAGGCCTCTGTTTCTCCATTTGTAAAATGAAGGGCTTTGACTAAGTGTTTGCACAGGTTTCTCGAAGCACTGATGTTCTGTGGTTCTGTGATTTTAGGATTGTCTGGGGAAATATTGAGCTGCAGTCCAAGAAAGTCCCAGCTGCCCTTGCCTGAACTGATTCTCGTTGTCCTACACAGAGACCTGAGGGGCGGAAGCCGAGTGAAGTGGCGCACAAGAGCATCGAGGCAGTGGTGGCCCGGCTAGAGAAGCAGAACGGCCTGAGCCTGGGCCACAGCACGTGTCCAGAAGAGGTCTTTGTGGAGGCCTCGCCGGGCACAGAGGACATGGACAGTCTGGAAGATGCTGTCGTGCCCCGGGCTCTGTATGAGGAGCTGCTGCGTAACTACCAGCAGCAACAGGAAGAGATGCGCCACCTCCAGCAGGAGCTGGAGCGGACTCGGAGGCAGCTGGTACAGCAGGCCAAGAAGCTCAAGGAGTACGGGGCACTTGTGTCTGAAATGAAGGAGCTCCGCGACCTTAACCGGAGGCTCCAGGATGTGCTGCTCCTGCGGCTTGGCAGCGGTGAGTGCCCCAGCAGGCCACCTACCACTCCACATGGGTGGAACACGTCATGCAGCTCCTCTCCCAGGAGGGAAAGGAGGAGAGGCAGGTCAAGTACCCCTGAGGCTAGGAAGGACAGACACTTGGCTCAGCAGTTGCTCCAAGGAGAGTCACCCTGTTTCACATTGAATCTGAGAGGAGCTTATGTGTGCAGCAGCCTGAGCTATGGGAACAGTAGGGAACATGGCTCAGAGAACGAGAGCTGACAAAATATTTGTCACTGTTCATTTATACATTCATTCAGCAAATGCAGTACCAAGGATTGTAGGGAACCTTTCCAAGGAGGTTTCAGAATAGTAAAGACACCTAGACATGATCCTAAAAACATTACTTCAAGTCAGAAAGTGATAAATGCTACAGGGGGATGCTGATAAAATGATATGAGAGTTCAGAGAATGGAAAGGTTATTTGTAACCGAGGGTGTGGGGAGACTTTCAGGAAGGAGGTAGGCCTTGAACTGGGCCTTGGTGGGTGTTCAGTGTTTCAAGGTGCAAGAGGAGGCCAAGGGTGACACTCATGACTGTGGGAAAACACCTTGAGCATACTAAGAAGGAATCCTGCAAATGATGGTGGAAGGCCTTGAAAACTGTAGCAGCCTGGGGTACCTGGACTGTTTGGTAGGAATGGGAAGCATTAAAGAGCTTTTGAGCAGGGAGACAGATGACCTTAGGGAGATGAGTATAAAGACGTATAAAACTCCTTTGGTTTGCTCATACAAGAACTTAATAGGCTCTTATATTAACTAACCAGGTTTTCTCATCTAAAGTGGTTTAGAAGCAGGAATTGGGGAAAATTTGAAGGGCAGCAGCTTTGGCAGCAGGAAAAAATGACTGCTTACCAGAGAAGAAGAGACAGAGGAACTCTTTCAGAACATAAGAATCCAGAATTATAAGACAGAGGGCAATCAGTATTGAGGAAATCAGTATAATATAAGTTCATAGCCTCCATAACCCCTAAAGACAATAATTAATAACCCTTAGGCAGTGTGTTTTGCTTGAAAAAGGGAATAATCTACTCTAGAAACACAGGTTCAATCCCCCAAAGTTTAAATCAAATATAATTTTATACTCAAGAAGGAAAGTTTCCATTATCTAGATAATAAATTGATATGTAAAGCTTCATCCCTCTTTGATTTGTTTATATAACAAATTACTCTACCCTACTTATATTTGTAGGTGCCTTTTGCTTCTTAAATTATGTCCCCAAGGCAGTGTCTCAGCAGATCTTTGGATGGCCCAAGAAATCAACAGAGTCTTTTTCTTGCCCTTGTCACAGAGAAAGAAACTAGGTTGGGATTTACCCAAAAGTCATGTGGGGAGGCAAAGGCAGAGCTCTGTCTCAAACCAAGTCATCTGATTCATGGGCTGGTAGTTTTCCCACTCCCCAGCTCTGCCATTGCTTGGCCACTGTCCCAAATCATAGCCTATAGAGGTTCACAGGGACACTAAAGGTCACATATGGTTTTGAACTTCAGAAGTTATTGAAGTTCTTTATTAAAATGAAATCTCAAAGATAAACCATAAATGTAAAAATTTGAGAAAGCTGTGTTGGTTGGTCTTTGAATTGGGGGGCGGGGAGAACTGAATTTTCAGAGAGAAAAAATATTTCACAATCTTAAAATGAATAATTTTGATTTCCATTGTGCTCTGAAGGCTTCCTTTTGTAAACTTCTTGGTGGGGGGGTGGGGAAAGTACACTACCAACAAAAACTCTTCACACCATTATTTCAATTCCCAGGGAAACTATCTGTTTTGCATATCTTGAACTAAGTTTAAACTCCAGAAACCACTCATAAGCCTCTGGGGCAGTAAGACACTCTGCAATTTACATTATTATGTACTCTTTTAGTCCTAAAACAGATAAACTTGACCCCACCATAGTTTCAGTGTCTTGATCTTTCCAGGCTCATCCCACAGGTCCTGAATGCTATTGCAAGGGCCAGTGGCTAACTCTTCCCTGATCTGAGTCATTGTCATCATCACAGTGGAATGGACTGAACATAAAGCAGTTCAAGCCACAAGTATGTGTGGAACACCCACCCTGTGCTCTCCAAGCTGGAGGCATCCTGGAATATCATACCCACTGTCCCTGAAATCTTAAAGTCAGTTGATTAACACATGTTAATTGGAGAATGGTAATGTGCCAAGTTCTAAGATAAATCCACAAGAATATAATAGAAGGATTTCTACCCTTAAGAGGAGATTGTATGTTTTCATGGAAAGAATATAGTCTTTGGAAGCAGGCAGTCCAGGATTCAAATCCCAACTTCCCCACTTGCCAACTCTTTAGCTTTGGAAACCTTTTCTTCCTTTTTTTCTTTTCTTCCTTCCTTTCTCTGACCTTTTTTTCTTGCACAAATACCTACTGGTCTCCTGCTGTGTGCCAGGCATTTTGCCTAGCGGTGAGAGTTCAGTATATTTGGATACAGCCCTTGCTGTGTGTCCTTGAGGAGCTCAAAGTTTGATGAGAGAGACAGGTACTACAACAATCAATGAGAGCACGGTACATAAATGTCACCACAGGGACAAAAGCATAGAGGATTTTGGGACAGCAGAGGAGGAGCACCTACCATATTCTGGAGGATTAGGAAAGAAAGATTTCCTAAAGGAAACAACTTCTAAGCTGAAGCCCGAAGCATGAATTTTTGCTGAGGGCAGAAGTGAGTGGGTGGGGAAGAGTGAGGAGCAATCTAGGCAGAGAGCGCCTCTCCAAGGCGTGGTGTTCTCTTCTGTAAAATGGGAATGGTAATATCCCCCTTATGTCCTTGTGACACACAGCACAGTCCCTGACATTCCGTTGATGCTTCATTGCTGTTGGCCCCTGTTCCACATCATTTAGTGGAAGACCTCAGGGTTCACTTTGGCTTTCAATTTGGGCTCTCCCACCCAGTAATTGGCTGTATGACCTTGGATAAGTTAACTTCTCTGCCTCTCATGATCTTCCTATATTATAGAAGATAAAAGAGGTTATATATGTTTGTTCATTTGTTTATTCAATCAGCTAACACTGAATACGTTCTAAACCTAGGAACTTGAGGAGATACAAAGAAGACTGAGACTTTGGAAGGTAGGGAGAGGGCAGTGAAGGAGGTAAACATAATTAAAATGCAGGGTAACCAGTGCTGGGGGAAGGGCTACCATTTAAAGGTAGAACTCTCTTGGTGAATCTTGGGAGATACCCACTTGTCATAACAACTCTCAATCTGTTAACACCACCACAAAACAAGGCAGGGAATAGCTAGAAAGTGAGCAAGAGACCTTTGCCTGACCCTCAGCTTCACATGCTCTCTAAGGAACACATCCTGGCCAGGGGCTGATGTAGAGCCTGGGCTTGCCATTCTCTGTGCCCTGGGCCCAGCTTGAATGTTGCTTTTGGAAGCCTATCCTTGAGTATTTTCATCTACCCACCTCACCTAGGACCCAGCTCAAGGGCCTTTGTCCAGCTTGAGTGCTGGATCATTCACACCATAACAAGACCAGGAAGGCCATCTGGTCAGGAAGTGCTCAGTTTTAGAAGGAAATCTACCTACTTGGAAGAATCTTTGCTGATTCGCCCATGCAGTGGGGTCGCAGGCGGTGGATGGGAGGGAGCTGAGAGTAGTAGTCTACCCTCTTGAGTCTGATGGGGACCTCAGAGTAGGAAGTGGGTCCCTTCAGCAGCCAGGAGTTGTAATGGTGCACTTTGTAGAGGTTGGGGTTAGAAAGGTGGAGTCATGCACAGAGGGTGGGGAGTAGCAGCAAGTTGGTATAAGATTGTTCAGAGGCTTCACTGGATGATTCACTTCTTCATTTGTGCATTTGTTCGTTCTTCTTTCATTCATTCCACAAAAATATACACGATGGATTTAACAGGAAAGATTCTCTGCAGCAGGGAGTCCTGGCATTGTGAACAAACTTAGGATATACACTGTTGCCCTCATTTTGCTGATGAGAAAATGAGCCCGGACAGTGTCACTGGCTTATTCCCAAGGATACCCTGACACCTCGTCCTGTGTGCTTCTCTCTGGACCCTCATCCACACGGCCTACTTTAGCCTTTAGACTTCATTGTTGCCAACATGGGAGTGACTCCTCTGTCCCTCCCCTTGAAAAAAGTTTATCTCTCTTTATAAAACAGAACTTTCCTTTTCTATGTTCTTAGCATGGGTAACAGCCCTTTCTGATGAAAAGGAACCTCACCCTTCTCTCCTGAGGGTCCTTGGTGTCAAAACTAAATGAGAAAGCATATGTAAAGAGTCTAGCCCTGTGGCCAACATATTGTAACTGTCCAATAAGTACCAGTCCCTTTTTCCTTTTTTCCCCTTTCCTGCCCACCACCCTCCTCCAAGGAAGTAAATGCAAAAAGAATGCAAAATGCATAAAGACATTCAAATTTACAAGGTTTATTTGTGTGTGTGTTCATTCATTCTTTCTTTACTCACCAAACATTTATTGAGGGTGTGCTTTGTGCCAGAACTGGGCTAGGTGCTGGAAATATGGAAATAAACAAGACAGAGTCCCTTTTTAAAAACAATTCACAAGCGGGTTAGAGTAGTGTTTCTAAACTGAGGGTTGGCAGTGTCAGAGAATTCCAAGGGGCTGAGGGGAAACAGAACAGTGGAGACCCAGTGGGAAGGATAAGCTCCCCTGTATGAGAATGGAGTAAACTCTAGGGTCTCTGTTTCTCCTCTGCTAGATCCCTTGTTCTTAGAAGGCAAAGACCAAGGCTTAGGTAACCACCTCAGTTTTTAACACTGTGAGTAACCACTTAGGTAATTCATTTTGGTGTGACTCAGGTAACAGTTCAAATAAGACTCCGAATTGCTCTGTGAAGGATGTAAAGAGGAGTACAGTCATCCTTGCCTTCAGGGTACACAGTCTCTCACCTCTCTGACTTCATCACCTGTGCCACAGTCAAGCTATAATTTAATCATTGTTGGTCTCCATTTTCTCTGCTATAAAATAGTTATCTTAAAACCCACCA